CATCTTCGAGCTTTCGTAACTAAAAACTTACATTTCTTTTATTTCGTTTTTGTTCATTTGCATTTATGTATATCAAGAATTGTTTATAAGTTTAAGAATAAGGATTTTAGGTGAAAGAAACCGATAAATTGGTGATATCGAATGCCTACGTTGACTTGCATGAAGTACCTGAGAATGTGGTCAGTAAGGTAAGTGATTAAGGTAAGCTTGTTCCAAAATTTCTAGTCTGTAGCTGTCATATGTTTTATCCTATGTCTTTTGTTTCTAAATCGTTACATATACTATGTCTTAAGTAGGCAGAGCGAGGATTTTTTATGCTGTTCTGGAGTCTTTTATCCAAGAATTTTCTAATTTTGCGGACTTTAATAATTTGATCAACTGTTGTTTCATTGTCGCATTTTTCTTGCCAATGACGCAGCTGGCAGCTTCCCCACTCATCTTCATGGAGGAGAACGAAGAAATACTTTCAAGAACAAACAAAAATTTTTTGGCTGTTTCTAAAAAAATCCCCGAAAGTTTTTTACAACAATTTCTGAATCTGAGGTCTCCCCCAATGACGAAGAATTGAGTATGTGCACCTCACTGTGCATAAGAAACAGTGGCTGAGGGAATTCAATAATTTTGAACACCAAATTGAGGATACATCCATACTGTGAGAGACACCAAGTCTGAACTGGATTATTCGTGCTAGCTGGAGCTATTAACTTGAAAAGTTAGGAAAACAGTTAAAGAGCGGGAATACTAGCTTTCTTCCACTTCGTAGTACGGGCTATGAGCCTGAATCCTCTTGCATGAAAATTAATGATGCCAGAAATACTTATCACACTACGATTAATATGTCAGTTTCATCTTTCTTGTTAACTACATCTGCCTTAAAAGCGTTTACTTTCGAGCATTACTGTTTAATTTATTCTTAGTTTTCCCCATTTAATTTGGCTTCACTTATACCTGCATGTTTCTAGTCGCAAGTTTTCCCAAAATGGTTTAGGAGTGATAATGTTCGGAGCAAGGTGGCAGCGTTTAATACATCAAAGACATCTCGGAACGGCTGAAGCTTTGCTAAGTACCGTCAAGGGCACAGTTAAGCACTAGCTTCTGGCTGCCCTATCTGCAGTCCCTTCAGCAGACGACACGAATGTCAGCAAGCTACCCATTGATCAGTGCGACACTAGTTAGATCAGCTGGAAAATTTGCCGGCTGCTACAAATTACAGCCAACTCTAGCACTCGCAGTAAGCATATTTCCTGATTTTATCTTCTACTGTTCGTGATCTTTTCCAGTTATGAAACTGAGTGGTTGGATTTGGGATTTTAAAGAATGGAGATGCTGCGACTTATTCTTCATGATCTTTGTGACATTCTTTGTTGTTAATTTTTGAAAATATGGATGAATAAATTTGTAAAACTGCGGCTGTAATGGAGAAAGCACAGATCGGCCATCGATAAAGGCTCTAAGAGTTGGTATTAACTTCAGCGCTAAAACGAAAATCAGTCCCTAAGCGTACATCAGAAAGTCAAAACTCTTTACTGTTAACTTTTGTTGAAAGATGGGGATATTAGGAATTAGCGCAATTGTCAGTAAGTGATAAAAGCAATTATACGCCCAAAAACTCTCAATTTTGAAGGTTGCTTCAGGCTGACGGTGGGTTTAATTCCCTAGAATATGCTAATACCAGTTTATGGTTAAAACGAATGAGCGAACGCAGGAGAATTGGTGGTTATTCCACTAGGGGGGCAACTCTGTCTGGCACTGCTTCATTCTTGCCGGCCACTTTTCTGAGAAGTAGAAACAAGCAAAAGCACAATATGGAAACTACTAAAACCCGGTTCATCTCGACTAAGATGGAAGGCGAGTTACAATGAATGTGAGGTGTCCCTCTCGAACTGCGAGGTAGAAGTAGAGGTGGGTGGGAGAGGGAGGGGCAAGGGTGTGAAGTTATTGACTGGAAAGAAACTGGGACCTTGCTTGGAGGTAAGAAATGGAAATATGAGCGTAGATCAAGAGGTGAAGAAGAGGGAAGGGGGCGGGGAGGGGGGAGGGGATTATGGAGCTCAGCAAGAAACTCGATGCTGAGTTAAAGCTGGAAAGTTTGTGTCTGGCTTCTAAAGTAGATTGCACTCAAACCCAGAGGAGGTGCATTTGAACGGCGGACTCAAACCGAGTTTTTATTCAGTTCCAAAAACATGTACATGCACCAGTAAAAACACGTTGCATCACGATCCTGATATAAAAACTAATTTCCTTCGACTAGCGTCATGTTCTTGGAGGCAACTTGATTCTGAAATATAGAAGAGTCTCTGTTTCTCCAACCAGGTGGTTTTTCTACCCAATGAGAATTCTGAACGCTTCTAGACATTCTCTCTACCGGAACTTTCTTTTCTCCGAAAAAACCCCGGTGGCGGTGTGCGCCGGAGTTGCTGCAACGCTTCGAGCTTGCGTTTTTTATATTACTGGTAATAAGTTATGGGGTCATAATATTGATAGAAGAATTGGGAGTCAGTTTCAACCTGTGAATATGCTAGCGAAATTTCAGCCCGGTTGGCCTGATTCATGAATCAGTCGCTGGGAAGGATATGTGAATCGGATAATGTCGTAAAATGAGCCTACAAAATTTCAGCATTTTAGCCAGTTCGGTTGTAAATTACAAAATTGGCAGCGACAATTTTCCAAAAACGCGAAATTTTTTTCCAAGTGTAGCTAATGTAACTAACCAAACAGCCGTGAAGATGCCTAGAAAATTGCAGAATTCTAGATGCTTTGATTGCCGAGTTACAAAATATCAACTTCAAACTGTTTATGCTGCTGCGCGAAATGCAAGAAAACGTGAAAGTTATGACCAATTGCACTTGTCCAAAAATAGTCATGGGTATGCTCAAAAGAATTCAGCGCTATAGCTGCTTTGATTGCGATTTTAATAAGTAAATTCCCGGAAAGTACTGTTCTAAAGTCACATGCGCATCATGATGCTCATAACGTTTGAAAGGTCCAAAAAATCCAAAAAAGGTTGCGCTAAATCATAAAGAGGCAGTCCTTTTAATAAACCCAGGCTAGAACGCACCGGGCGGGCCCGTGCGATCATGCGTTTTTGCGCCGGACTTGAATTACTCAGGTCATTAACTGCGAATGGCTTTGCTTTACACCTACCTGTTGCGGTCACTAGCATAAATCACTGCAAATTTTGCAAAGTAAATTCACAATTTCCATTTAACAATCGTTCTTTAAAAGTAACTTAGTTGTTCAGTGAGAAATTTTTTCGTC